TAACGATAAGATTAGCTCAAAGTAAAATTTGTTTTTTGCGATGGATTTCACATTCGCACTAGTCAGTCTAATCCCAGAGCTTAGATTAACTACTGTGGCATGCTGCTATTCTATAATGACATTTGACAGGAGGGAAGGAGTTTGTTTTTCCAAGCTTTCTTTCTCTACTACCTTCAGTTAAGTTTTTCTGGTTTATCTCAGGGTATTTTCCTCTAAGTTACTCCTTTATTTCTCCTGATTTCATTGTAGGGCTTTTGACACAGTAAATGGTTAAGCAATATTAACTGACAGATATATCAATTGAGACTTTGTATTACAGTCAGCTAGAATTTTGTGTTTTTATTGAGTTGAAATTCAAGTCCTCAAAAAGTCAAAAGCAAGGAACATCTTCATGTAAATTTGGCATAGTATTATTGCTCTCAGAACAAAAGATGAGGACAGGTAAGAGCCATAATAATGCCTGATGGTTGTGTTTGAAATCTTTAAAAAAATCTTTTGGGAGAGTCTTAGTTTCTTTTCAGTTTTTACTATTAGAAACTATGTTGATATAAAATCCTTGTGTTTATTTCATGTTTCCTTTGTGTTTGTGACATGACACTTTTCTAAATGCATTTTTCTTCTTCATATTTTACCTTCTGAATTCTGAGACTAAATTGATGCCAAAACTGGTGAGAATAATCAGAGTGGTCCTGTAAGACATTTTGGCAAAATGTATCAGGTGCTTTAAACTATTTATTTTTTAATTTATTAATTTCCATTTGGGGAAAATGGAACTCAAAGAAACCCCTAAAAATGAAAAAACATGCACAAAGATGTTTATATCAAAATAAATAATAGTTTCTAATAGTAAAAACTGAAAAGATACTAAATGTCCAATTATGAGAGAACTGTTGAATAACCTTACACTCAATACAAAATAGGTAGCCATTAAAAGTAACAAAATATCAAAAGTACAAACAATCAAGATACTGATAGCCAGCATGTACTCAGTGTTTATGACACTTTTCTAAGTGCGTTACATTTGTAAACTTACTGAATTCTCATAACAACTCTGTAAAGGAAGAAGCGATACCGTTCCTGTTATGCAAACAAGGAAGTCTAGGAACAGAACATTTGTAGTGTTTTGACGAAGGTCAGAAAGAAAGTAAATGACATGGATGATATTTCAACCAAGACACTGAGGCTTCAGAACCCATGCTCTTGATTACCAAATGATATTGCCTTGTCTTTATAGTAAGTAGGTTTGCTGAGGCAAAATTTTATTTTATCTCCTAAAGAACGGCAGCGATTTTTGCAACTGGAAGTTTGTCTTGGAATTAATGAGCTCATTTATATAAGGTGCCTGGGAACTTTTTTAGAGAGCTAGGATCAAGACCCAACTCTTTTCTCCTAAGACATTTGGACTGAAGAAGACCTGAGTGAGGCCGTGGGATCAGGTCAAAGCAATGTAACCTAAGCAATGAAATAGTCAATAAACGTAGAAGGTCACAGCATGATTGAATAAGCTTTTCTCTGCTCTAAAACTACAGGTTAAAAAAAAAACAATGGTATTGCTCTTTTATGGGTGACAGCTAGCAAGGCTTCAGCAAAATGGCTCTTGTGACTGAATCTGAATAGTTATAATATTGGAATCCAAGGCCAGTGATGGCGTAAAACATTCTTAGATCCTGTATTACTGATGGAAAGATTGTCCATGTCCACCTTCCATCTTAAAGAAATTCTGTGACCTGCCTGGAAAAGCATTAACTTCTTCAAAAGAAGGTTCAGGTCCAAGCATTAGCACCAGGATGCTGGCATGTTTCAGCATTGACAGGGGCAACTGCCCTTCTTGAGGTTTCATTTCAACCCCATGTTTTGGGAACTGTTTGGACCAGACTAATCAGCTCTAAATTCTGGAATTTTTCACCTTTTATCTTTCAAGGCAGCGGGGTACATATTCTGGCTAAAGTAAGAAAACTAGAGCAAATTGTACTTGTCTTTTGGATGAGAGAATGATGAGTGAAGTGTGTTTGTTATATGTGTGTGTGTAAAGAACATGACAGTTCAATTTAAATACTGCACATTGGACCCAAACTGTAAAGATAAACAGCATGGCTTCAGCTGATGATTTAAAAAACAAAACAGATCATACATGAGGAAGAGAAATGGAAAGAAATTCACTGACATGTTAACATTGTTTTATGCTAGTGGCTCGTAGGATAGTGAAAATGTTCTTTATATTTAACCTTTTTTTAAGACATAGACATTACCTTTCTAATAAAAAATAAAGGTAACATTAACGTTTTAATAACTATTACTGTAGAATGAGTTGTGTTTCTTCATGATTTTTAAGCTATTAAATATATCAATTTTCTTATTCTATTATTTAAATAAATTTTTTTTATCACTGGACCATTTGAAGAAGAATCAGTGTTTAAAAATAAATTGTGTCCAGCATCTCCATAGACCAAACATGATTCAGCATTGTACTTGTATAGTGCACTGCCTTCTAAATAGACAACATAAGGACCTCAGGGAAACACCAAGGATGTGCATTTTTGATCTATGCACACAGTAAATCTCAAGAAAAACAGCCCTTTACTCAATTCATCTCAAAATGCCCAAATCAGCCATGCATTAAAATTCAGTGGTTCAGGGAAATTCTCCCCAATGTCATCTTCATAACCTCTTACAGGGAGCAAGGATAATTCTATAAAGTTGTTCTCTGTATTTTAACACCCTTTTAGCCTGCACCTCTGGTGTGTGAAAATTAAATTAAAAGAAACAAATTAAATTACCAAATTTTATCATATGTTGACTTTTTGCATTCCTCTAAAGCTAAAGTAATTTAGGTTTGTTTTTGACGGTTGCTTGGGGTTGCTAACCCGGAGAAAATCACCGAGACATATTTGTTCACCTAGTGAGCGGTCCCTGATTTCACTGGTTTCTTTTCAGAGAGGTAAATTGTAATAAACGCTGTCAGTAAATGCTTTGCTTTTCCTAGTTCTGATTTTATGGTCCTGGGAAAAGATAATAAAATGCAAGATATATGGTTAGTCCCAGTAAGCAAATCAGGGTTTATATAACCTTTGAGAGTTCAAATATTTAATGGTAGACCTCTTTTAACTTTTGGAATGGTGACCCAATCAGGGTCACTGTGTACTGCTGTTTGTGTAATGCACTGCAGGATTCCATGGAGTGATATTCACTATACTATCTTGTGAATGCAATAAATCAGGAGAAATTATTAAGCATTATGATGGTGTACTAGAAAGAACATTGTTCTGAGAGCTAGAAAAATGTGATTCCTTCGCTGACTTTGCTAAGGTTAAGCCATGATTTTGATGAAAATTGTGAAGAATAAATACATAATCTGGGTTATGTTAATGATTATAATGATTATATTTTAGTACCTGTTTTTTCATTATACTTAAGGTGATATTGACAAGATGTTTAAAATGGAAGTAATTGGCATTTTAAAAATAACAGCTTTATTGAGATATAACTCATATAGCATATAATTCATCTGTTTAAAGTTAGTTTTTCATATATTCACGAAGTTGTGCAATCATTGTCACTATTTCAGAACAATTTCACCACCCCAAAACGAAGCCTCATTCCTGCACCCCCTACCAACATGAATCATACCCCTTGACTAAGGAGCCACCTAGAAGCCTCATTCCAATTAGCAGTCAGGTCCCATTTCCCTCCAAATTCTCAGAAACCCTAGGGAACCACTAATCTGCTTTCGGTATCTATACATTTGCCTTTTCTGAACATTTCATACAAATGGAATCGTGCAGTAGGTTGTCTTTTGTGACTGACTTCTTTCATTCAGCATAATGTTTCAAGGTTTGTCCCTGTTGCTGCATGAATCAGAACTTCCTTTCTTTGTATAGTTAAGTATATTTCATTCTGTGAATATACCACATTTACTTATCAATTCATCACTTGATTGATGCTTGAGTTCTTGATTTTTGGACATTATGAATAATGCTGCTCTGAATGTGTAACAATGTTTATAGGAACATATGTTTTTTGTTTTCTTGGGATATATACTTAGGAGTGAAATTTCTGGGTAAATGCTGAATATGTTTAATACTTTGTGGCATGTCTAGATTCTTTTCCAAAATGGCTGTAGCATTTACAAGTCTACAAGCAGTGTGTGATGGATCCATTTCCTTCACATTCTCAAGAATAGTTGTTATTACCTGTCCTTTTCATTACAGCCAACCTCATGCATACAAAGTAGTAACTCAGTGTGCTTTTGATTTGCATTTCCCTGGTGATAATGATGTGCTTATTGGCCATTTGTATACCTTCTTTAGAAAACTGTTTATTCTATGATCCATTTTTAATTTAGTGTTTCTCAAATAACAATACTTTTATAGAACTTTGAAAGATTCAAATTTAGAGTAAGTTTGAGAATATTTGATGTTTTTCATTCCAGCTTGAATATTCCATCATCTTTTATGATATGTGCGATCTGAAGAGAAGGTATATAGCCCGTAGTATCTCTCTCCACCAGGCTGTAAGCCCAGAGAAGACAGAGATGGTCTCTTCCAGTAATTGTTGTTTATAGCAACTAGTAGAGTGCTTCTAATATGATAGATACTAAAACAATATTTGATTGATGAATGAACAGAGACACTTCAAAGAAACTTATTCTATATTTCTGAAGCTGATTATATTATCTTTTCTACACCCCCTCCTCCTAGACCATATGTATTTTGAAATCCTTAAAAGTTGTAGTAAACCTTAATCATTTGCAACTTAAACAAAAATTACTAATTTGATTTGAGAGAAATGCCATCTAGTCAGGAAAAGAAGATGACTCAGATCCTAACTTTCAGGTTTTATCAAGCATTTTCTTATTTCTGTCTCTAGTCCATATTCACCAAGTGCCTGGCAGAAAACATCCAGGTTAATGCCATAATATAATAATCAGAGACTATTGTTTTGCTGGTGAAGCTATGTTCTATATATCCTGGCCCTGGTAATTCCAAGCTGTCTCTTTATAGATTTTGCAAGTGGAAGATGAACAACAACATGCCTCCTGGCAGCCTGCCCATTGGTAAGTCTGAGTGAGTGAAATGCTGTCCCTCCTATCCTCAGCAAGCAGCTATAAAAGAAGCCAGGGATTAGGTGTTAAACTGTGTTCCCATTAATTTGAATCATCCAAGTCTTAATTTCCCAGTATCTCACAATTTGACTGTATTTGGAAAAGGCTCTGTAGAGAGGTAATTAATTAAAATTAGGTCATAAGGGTGGTCACTAATCCAATATGACTCTGTTTTTAAAGAGGAGATTAGGACACAGACACACACAGAGGAGAGACTGTGAGAAGCTACAAGGAGAACATAACTATCTACAAAACAAGAAGACCTTGGCAGAAACCAACTCTACTGACACCTTGATCTCAGACTTCTAGCCTCCAGAATTCTGGGGAAGATAAAATTTCTGTTGTTTAAGCCACTAGTTTCTGGTACTTTGATATGGCCACTCTAGCAGAAAAATACACTGAGTATGGGCTACATGAAGCTATAGGGTAGTATGCTTTGAATCTGTGCCCTGCCCAAATCTGATGTGGAGTGGTAGTCTCCAGTGTTCCAGGTGGGACCAGGTGGGAGGTGACTGCATCATGGGGGTAGGTGTCTCATAAATGGTTTAGCACCATCCCCCCTTGGTACTGTATAGTGAGCGAGTTCTCATGAGATCTGTTTGTTTCACAAATGTGAAACCCCTCCCCCGCCTGCCCCAAATTTCCTCCTGCTCCAGCTCTGTAAGACCAGCCTGTATCCCCTTTGCCTTCTGCCGTGATTGTGTTTCCCGAGGCCTCCCCAGAAGCAGATGCTGCCATGTTTCCTGTACAGCCTGCAGAACCATGAGCCAACTAAACTTCTTTTCTTTATAAATTACCCAGTTTCAGATATTTATAGCAGTGTGAGAACAAACTAATACAGAGGGCATATCTCGAATTGACTGTGGCAGTATTGATGGCTTTCTACTAGGGGAATAGAGAGAATCAGGAAGTTGAGATGATATGTGTCTACCCAAAAGCAGAAGAATCTAGAACAAAAGCATTCACATCCTTTATCCTTTTATTCAACATTTTCTCAATATTGCTTTGAGCTGAGAGCCAGGAGTACTTTTCTAGTTTCCAAAGCCACATTTTAAATAAAAAAGAGCATGGTAGGCATTCAAAATAACAAATGAAAACTTTCTGTGTTCATATTTCGACTTAAATGATGGACTGCTACTAAGTGGCTATTATTTTCTTTTCTTTCTCTGTCTCTCTTTTTTTTTTGTTGTTGTTACCTTAATATTTTCCTATGTCATTAAAAGTTATTAGAACACTAAAACCACAAATAGCCAGGTGTTAACTTTTTTCTTGTGGTTAAATATAAATAACAAAATTTATTATATTAACTCTTTTTAGGGGTACAACTCCATGGCATTAACTATATTCACATTGTTGTGCAATCACCACCATCCATCTTCAGAACTTCTTAAAAAATCTTCCCCAACTCTGGTGATAACTTTTAAATAACTGTTTCCATTGAAACTGCCCCTTTCTTATACCTTATGCAAAAATTAACTCAAGATAGATTAAAGCCTTAGATATAAACCCTCAAACTATAAAAACCCTAGAACAAAATCTAGGCAATACCACACATGACATAGGTAAGCAAGGGCAAAGATTTCAGTTGCGACAAAAGCAAAAACTGGCAAATGGGATCTGATTAAACTAAAGAGCTTCTTCACAGCAAAAGAAACTATCATCACAGTAAATAGATAACCTACAGAATGGGAGAAAAATTTTGCAATCTATCCATCTGACAAAAGTCTAATATCCAGAATATACAAGGAACTTAAATGAATTTACAAGAAAAAAAAAACAACCCCATTAAAAAGTGGGCAAAGACATGAGCAAGCTTAATACCACTAATTATTAGAGAAATGCAAATCAAAACTACCATGAGATACCATGTCACTCCAGTCAGAATGGCAATTATTAAAAAGCTGAGAAACAACAGATGCTGATGAAGCTGTGGAGACACAGGAATGCTTTTACACTGTCGATGTGAATGTAAATGAGTTCAACCATTGTGGAAGACAGTGTGGTGATTCTTCAGAGATTTAGAATGAGAAATACCATTTGACCCAGCAATCCCATTGCTGGGTATATAAAGGAATATAAGTCATTCTATTATGGTGATTCACACATGTGTATGTTCACTGCTGCAATATTCATAGTAGCAAAGACATGGAATCAACCCAAGTGCCCATCAGTGATAAACTGTATACAAGAAATGTGGTACATGTACCCATGGAATACTATGCAGCTCTAAAAAGGAATGAGATCATGTTCTTTGCAGGGATGTGGATGGAGTTGGAAGCCATTATCCTCAGCAAACTAATGGAGGAGCAGAAAACCAAACACCACATGTTCTTACCTACAAGAGGGAGCTGAACCATAAAAACACATGGACACATGGAGGGGAATAACATACACTGGGGCCTGTCTGGGGACAGGGAAGGGAAGGGAGAGCATCAGGATAAATAGCTAATGCACGTGGGGCTTAATACCTAGGTGATGGGTTGATAGGTTCAGTAAACCATGATGGCACATGTTTACCTATGGAACAAACCTTCACATCTTACACATGTATCCTGGAACTTAAGTAATTTTTTAAAAATAAGTTTTTCCTTCTGCTTTGTAACTGGATGAGTAATTCTTACTCTGTTTTTGGTTTGTGTTTTTGAGACAGGGTCTCCACTGTTACCCAGGCTGGAGCGTAGTAGTGTAATCATGGCTCACAGCAGCCTCCAACACTGGGTTTAAGTGATCCTCCTGCCTTGGCCTCCCAAAGTGCTGAAATTACAGGTAAGAGCCACTGTACTTGGACTGGGTGAATAATTCTAATAAGCATAGGAGGAAGTTTCCAGTGAAGTCTTACAGGATTCTCTCTCCTTCCCAAGCACTCTCCTTGCTTCCTTTCTTCCTGTCTCTCTACTTTTTCTCATCCAATGTCCTTCATAAATAATGACCCTTTACAAGTGTGACTATAGAATGATTTATTTGTTTTCTTTCGTGATATCTTTTTCATTCAAAAGTGTGAATGCTTTAATTGTTCATATTTAGCATAACAATGGATATAATAGATTTTCCTTCCTTTGGTTCATGTATGTCTACTGTTTATATTACATTATTGTTTACCTTTTGCCATTTCATTTTTACTGGTAGGGACAAGCTGCTATTTGGGAGTTTTATTGTACATTCTATTGTTCTAATGGCCTCATACCTTTGCTTATAGTAAAATATATTTATTATATGAAAGTAATTTATAAATAATTTCTCCTCATAATAAACTTTTTCTGTTTTCTTATTGTCTGAAAGGAGATACTGATAACAGTCTACCTCTATTATCTTATCCATTTTTAATGATCTATTTGTGTATTTTTTTCTGAGATATCTTAGTACTTTTAGCGCCAGACTGTCATGATGTTTTCACAAATAGTGTGTATTTTCTATGCCAGCAAGCCTTACTTAGTGCCTAAATTACGTATTTGCAGCCACTGTATCGTTATCTATTTAGATTGAACTGTGTACTCTGCAAAGTTAATTGCTTGCCCTTATTCAGTTTGTTCTCTAGTAATGATTCCTCCATCGTAACATTTGTATTTCTGATTACAGTTCCTTCCTAAATTTTTTTCTAAGGAAAAATTTAAAAATTTACTTAATCATGCTTTTTCTATGTTTATCTCTTGCTTTTTCTTTCTGGATTACTTATTATTTGTAGATAGTACTCTTGGATTCATCTTTCAACTCTCTAATGCTTTCTTATTATTTTCCTTTATTATGATTTTTTGCATCAGCTTATGACAAAATCGAATGATTTTTTAAAATGGCATCTTATGTGGAATTTTTTGGTGGTTTTAATCTCTTAATCTTTCAGGTTATTAACTTGGATTTCAACAATGCCTGTTTAATTAATTCCTGAACTTAATAGCTATATATTTTCAATTTCAATTTATGACTCTCTTAATGCTCAGGTTGAACTATAAGGTAGATATCTAAACTTGATACCACTGGAACGAATAAAACTAGAAATTATCTGTATCACTGATCTCAGAAATATATTAGCATCAACAATCAGCACTTGTCTGCTCAGTATGATTGTTTCATGGCCAAAAGCCCAGGTTATATTTCACTGATAGTTCACACTTCTTTAGAGCGTCCTATAAATGTCATTATAAATTCAATATATAAACCTACTATAGTCTTTATAGGAGATAAAGAGGTTCTCAAAAGCGTTTAAATATTGCTTAATATTTATGGACTATTTCATAAAATTTTAGACCATCTCTTATACTGCTGTTTTCATAATTTTCTATGTTCCTCTGGCAAGGTGTCTTAAGAACATGCTTTGTAATGACTAAATTGGAATACAATTGAATTGTCATACATTATTGAAGTTAATTCAGAGAAACATTTTCTAAACTTTTTTTTTTTGAGAGAGAGTTTCGCTCGTTACCCAGGCTGGAGTGCAATGGCGCGATCTCCGCTCACTGCAACCTCCGCCTCCTGGGTTCAAGCAATTCTCCTGCCTCAGCCTCCTAAGTAGCTGGGACTACAGGCGCACACCACCACACCCAGCTAACTTTTGTATTTTTAGTAGAGACGAGGTTTCACCTTGTTGACCAGGTAGGTCTCGATCTCTTGACCTCGTGATCCACCCGCCTCGGCCTCCCAAAGTGCTGGGATTATTGGCCTGAGCCACCGGGCCTGGCCTAAACTTTTGTTTTTTAAGGCAGCAAAACACTTTAAAAAATGGCATTTTATGTGGAATTATTTTGTGGTTTGAAAATATGTCTACAAATTTTCTTTCCTCTGGTTCACGTATGTCTACTCCTTCAATGCTCCTTCCCCTAGCAAGTGGTATCTAATCCTTCTTGCTTTGAGTGTAGGCTAGACTTACTGACACACCTCTAATAGAATATGGCAGAAATGACAGGAAGGAACTAGGTCAAGAAGGACACTGCTCCCTCTCTTGAGTCACTTACTCTGGAAGAGGCTAACTGCCATGTCATGAGGGCTAGCCATATGAAGAAGCCCATGTGGTAAGAACTGAAGCCTTTAGCTAACAGCCATGTTAATGAGTCATCCTGGAGCCAGATGACTGCAGCATTGACCAACATCTTAATTGCAACCTCATGTATGACCCCGAATCATAACAACACAGCTAAGCTGATCCTAGATTGCTGACTCTCAAAACCGTGTAAAAAAATAAATAATAATTTTTAGGTGGTTAAGCTTAGGAATAATTTGTTATACAGTAATAGCCAGCTGCATATAAAGTCGTGCCAATATATAAAATAGTTTTAAATAGGCCGGGCATGGTGGCTCATGTTTGTAATCCCAGCACGTTGGGAGGTGGAGACGGGCAGATCGCAAGATCAAGAGACCAAGACCATCCTGGCCAACATGGGTAAACCCCTTCTCTACTAAAAATACAAATATTAGCTGGGTGTGGTGGCTCATGCCTGTAATCCCAGTTACTTAGAAGGCTGAGGCAGGAGAATCGCTTGACTCCGAGAGGCGGAGGTTGCGGTGAGCCAAGATCACGCCACTGCACTCCAGCCTGGAGACAGAGTAAAACTCTGTTTCTTTTTTTTTTTTTTTTTGAGATGGAGTTTCGCTCTTGTTACCCAAACTGGAGTGCAATGGCGCAATCTCGGCTCACCGCAACCTCCGCCTCCTGGGTTCAGGCAATTCTCCTGCCTCAGCCTCCTGAGTAGCTGGGATTACAGGCACGCGCCACCATGCCCAGCTAATTTTTTGTATCTTTAGTAGAGACGGGGTTTCACCATGTTGACCAGGATGGTCTCGATCTCTTGACCTCGTGATCCACCCGCCTCGGCCTCCCAAAGTGCTGGGACTACAGACTTGAGCCACCGCGCACGGCCAAGACTCCGTTTAAAAAAAAAAAAAGTTTTAAATAGAACTGCTATTTTCAAAGCAGGTTAGGGAGGAGCCAGGAGAAATTCAATTCTCTGGGCCTCTCCTTCATCCCTGGATGTGATCTGAGAAATACCTCAGCATGGCCATAGTTACTTACATAAAATGGATTGTGACACATTTGTGTAAAATCCACTTTGTAGTTTTGAGCTGATGATTCAACTTGATGATCATTTGCTGAGTCCAGAATTATCTTCCTATAAGGAAAGGAAAGAAGATCCTTGTTCTACCACATCCCAACATTCCCAAACTTGTCCTTTAATAGCCAAGAAGAGTCTACAGACCGAAGTGATGTATCATTCCTCTCCCAGCTTTTGAACATGGAGAGAAGCATTTTGATATTCTATGTGTGTTGTGTGTATATATTGGATGCATGTATGTGCATGCATGTGGATATTCTGAGATTATATTTATTTTTAGAACTCTTAGTTATGGTCTATGAAAGCTATTTTGGTGTAACAAGACCAAAATTAAATCCTGGGCATATCACCTTCCTGTAATGGGAACTTTGAAAAACTATTCATCTTTTAGAGGCTGTTTTCTTACCTGTAAAATGAGAATGATATTTATAGTTTAAAGGATTTTCAAGATGACGAGTTTTTTTTTTTCGCAAAATATATGTTTGTGTATGTCTTAACACCATTTCTGTCACAAAGTAGGCACTTAATAAATGTTTCATATTTTTCTCTTTGCCATTGCTTTTCACTTTTTTCTTGATGCAAACATATTAACTGAAATAATAATTCACATTCTTCTCTCTCACATTCTTTCTTTTGTCCTGACTCAAAAATAAAGCAGCTTAAACCTAATGTAAATTAAAATCAGCTATGTATAGAAAGCACATTAGCTGGATTTTTGCTTCGTTCATGTTTTCTTCTTAGTTTATTTTATTTCCATTCTAAACAGTTTTATTGTATTATGGGCCTTGTTGTTGTTGTTTAGTAAGCTAATTCAAATCCTTTCTCAAAGTAGGGAAGGTATATAGTTATAAATTAAACAAACAAACATACTTTGTTTTCCTAAAATGAAAAAGTATTTAGATTAATAGAAAATAAATTGTAACTCTCGAACACTGAAAATTCAATATCACTTAAGCTGTAACATTTTTTTTTTAATACATATAGTGGTTGAGAATGAGAGCTATAGATGACTTCCATGGACTCTCACAGGCTTAAGAATAATGCATTTATGTAACACTTTTTCTTATTCTTACTATTGAGAGCTATAAGAAACTTTCTCCAACTTTTTTGATTGAAGACTATTCATAAGTTAAAATTGTACTGACCTGGGGCCTCAGCCAGATGCTTAAACATAAATTAATACAAATTTTAGTAAAATAAGGTGTAGAAAAATTCCTGAATATCTGTCCTCTATTCTCCTCTTAGGATTTGATATTCTTTTTTTCAAATCAAAGTACTTGATGCTTATTTAATACATTTTCCATCGTTCCTTTTGCCAGCTATGTGTTTCAGAATGCATTTGCTAGAGATCTTGGCACAGATTGAGTTACAGCCCCACATGAAAAGGAATATATAGATAGAAATGTGAAGATTTTAGGATGCCCTATTTCATGCATAGCATCAAGGTCATTTTTGTTATACGATGTAGTGTATAGCCAATTCCCATGTGGTAGTGTTTTGAATGATTGCATATTACATATGACACAAGCTCTAGCCTTTGTTATGCTGTCAGTGCTGTGGAAGAGGCTCAAAATAAGAGACTGAAGAACACATTGTTTTATTAGCGTTTACACATTTCCGACTTAATATAACTAACTGGGAACTAAAGATTATCTCTCTCCATTTCATAAATCACATTTAAATGGCAAAACAAAATTATTTTGAAAATCAGGCGGGTGATGAAAA